TGCTGGGGTTGTGGGGTAGGGTTTGGATGGGGGCAGCTCACGCTCAGCCGTTGTGACAGGGTCACACTCTTGTGAGTGAGTCTCACTCACTGAGCAGCAAACCACTGACCCAACCTCACACTGGGCTGTGCTCAGAGCAGACGAGGGGCCCGTAGGATTCAGCTTGTTACCCAGTAACACACGGCCCAGGTCAGACCACAGCAGCCAGACCGGCCCCTCCTCCAGCTCAGAAAGCTCGGCCAGCCTTGGCTAATGGGGGCTGGGGCAGTGCTGAGCGGTGGCCACACAACGCAGCCGTCACGTGTCCAAGAGGAGAGAGGCACAAACACGTCATCTGTTATCAGCCTGTGCAGCACCCAGCACAATGGGCCCAGTCCAGGCCTCACAGCAGCTGGCTCAGTGACACCCATTAACTCAGCCATGGAGGGGTCAGGATGTCAGAGTGATGGGGCCTGGTCAGATACCTGGGCAAGTACCAGCAGGTGGCTGTAAGTAGCAGGCAAACTGCCCAGCACTCAGCGCATCAGCCTCCAGCTATCACACAGCTCCAAGCCTGTCAGCTGGGTCCATGCGTGTCCTGGGGTCCCAGGTGCTGTCCAGATCCCCAGGCACAATACAGCTGAATGTCCCAGTAGACTCCACTCACCTATGAATCTCTTCAGCGCTTCCCTCATGTCAAGGGAAATTTTATACATGTTCTTCAGGTCAGTAGAAACAGCTTCTGGTTCCTGGAGTTTCACATTCTCACTCCTATGAAGAAAACATCGCATCATCACTCAGCTGCTCTGTACACACATCATCCCAGAACCACCACCAGGAATATAAGAGCAATGAAAGTGGGAAACACACCTGCTCAATGTGCTTTTCACATCCTGAAAGGAAAAAGAGAATCAATGTTCTGTATTAACACAATGTGCATCAAACTGAGTGTCTCTCGCTCTGGGCATCAACCTTTCATCTAGAAAATAGATCAACCCTCCCAGGCTTCACTGTTTTGTGGTAAAATCTCACACACCGTTTTGCATTAACACTTGTTTCATGTATGTAGGTGAGACAGGGATTTAGCTGAAGGGTTCTCCCTTTTCGGGACCCAGCCCATCAGTATCTGTGTTTATTGACTGTGTTGGGTCCAATGTTCTGGGGCCAGAGCAGGGATGGGTTTAGCTCAGTATCATTTTTGTATCATCCATTTAATCTCCCACAGCCTCACTGGGTCTCCAGGAGAATTCCCCTCTAACATGAACTGCGATATTTTGGAACTGATGGAGCCCTTAGCCGGATGTTCTGTTTGTCAGTTAACCATAGAACACATTTACTCTCATTGTTGGGATCCAGACCCAGGGATCTGAGCTATAATTCTGGATGGGTGGAGAATTTTGATGCCATCTCACCTTTAGCAGCTCGACAACTGGTTGCTGACACTTCTCCTCTATCTCTGTGATCAGATGCTGCAGAAAGGAGCTTTGCCGGGAGAGTTTGGTGACATTTTCCCGTAGTCTCTGCAGAGTCGCCCTCTCCTCCTCCTCCAGTCTCTGCAGAAGCAGTTGCTTCTCCTCTCTCAGCAGCATGTGCAGTCTGTTAAATTCACCTGCAATCATCTTTCTCTTATTCTTCACTTTCCTCTGAAGATAGAAAAATAGGAAAGGCAGAGAGAAAACATGAGCCGGATGTTGAGTTACACAGACTGGGCCTCTGACCATGAAGCAGGGGATATTAGATCAGTATCAGGTTTGTAAGGATATTTACTTCTTTGGGAAACGTACCATAAAGGGTTTGTTTTAGTTCAGAATTAATACGGCCAGTTCCATTGCGGGGTTGTCCAGGGTGCTTTGTAAAGCCGAAGTATGTTATTGCAGGTGGCATGGGATGGACACAGTGGAGTGGGGAGAAATCGAGGGAACAGGAGAGATATACAGGGGGATTTGGGTGCCGAGTGTTGGGCCCTCAGACACCAAGGGGAGCTGTCACAGTGAGATGTGGGCGATGCTCCTTCTTTGACAACCTGCTCCCAGGGCTGCAAATTCAGAACATCGAGCTGGTGCTAATAGTCTTTTGGGAGCCATCCTGCGACTCACATTGGTGTTGGGTGCCCAGGGCATTGTCAGGGCTGGCTTTGGCCTCACCCAGCCTGGTCGAGTGCCCCATGCCCATGTGTCTAGTAGCCTGGGATCGCAGCCTTTAGGGATCCCTCTAGGCTCACAAAGCAGCGGGTTGGCTGATGCCAGCTGTGTCCCCACCTGCCCTCTGAAAGGAGCTCTGGGAACGATGCTGAGCCGGTGCTGATCCTGGCTGGGGGAGGGGCTGGCTGCTCTGCACTGGCCTGTCCAGCTCCCCTGCAGCTCAGCCCAGAGGTGTTGGGTGACCCTGGGGTGAGCCTGCCCCCCAGTGTGACTCGGGCCACAGTGATGTTGGGGAAAGTCCCTCTCACTCTCCCTGAGATGCCAACATGGCCAGGGGCTTCAGCAGCTTCCCCGGCCCCTGTCCCCTGCCCTCCTCCCTGAAACCCCAGTACGTGAACCCCAGCCCTTCCCCCCACCGGTCTGTGCCCTGTGCTGACCCCCCTCCCCTTCCCTGTGCGGGGCTCTAACCCGTCTGTCTGTCCCGCTCACCTGTGTGTGGGGGGGAAGGGGCTGTGCTCAGTGTCTGTGTCTGATCTGGCTAGCTCGGGTACTGGTAGTAGGGTGACCAGATCACCCAGGACAAATATCAGGATGTGGAGGGGG